CTCACTTTCAGCGATTAAGACCCATTCACAGCCAATATTTGACAGTTTAGCGGCTAGCATTATTAATTTATATTTCTCATTAGTTTATCAGTTATCCGGCACCGTAATAAAAGTAAATTTAAAGTATTGGCAACAATATTACAAGAGTTATGTCGTAGTCTGATAAATTTTACGTGAAATTACCACGAGGACGGTTGCGAAAAAGAAGCCAAAAACGAGTCAGTTGTAATATAACCTGAAACTCAAAATTTGTAACTTGAAGAAAATCGATAAGCAATGACGATTTTTTGCTGGCCGAGCTTTTATACAGAATAATAGAATATAGGGAAACGAAATTATTGGAACTTTTCCAATGCATACAATGGAATAGCCCTCATAATGTTATATAGAAACCATTTCTATACTATTATAGTAATGGTTCCCATATGATAACATAAGAATAATTCTTATAAAATTATAGAACCAATTCACCTACCGCTATAGGTATCATTACCACAGTATTATGGAAACTATTGTTATATTAGTATAGAAATAATTCCTATATATTCCAATAATAATACATGAGAATCATTCCCATACTATCACAATTATATTTATTTATAAAATGGTAAAGAAATTGCTCTCATGATATGAAGAGATTTTATTTAAGCATCTTAAATAGTAAATTTCTTCTTGAAAAACTAAATTAAACTTATCATAGTTTCAACCACAAAGGAATAATTTTTATGCATGAATAATTGAAAAATATTCAATTTTCTGATTGAAATAATCATAAACTTTAAATATATCTAAAAATTCTATTGTTCATTGAAACATATTTAGATTCAATTTGGTAATGATTAGATGCGGGGCTTCACCGATTTTTAGTCGTAAAAAATCGAAAAATTAAGTAATCAACAATTTTTTTTTTTTTTTTATTTATTTTTGATGCAAAATATATTAAAAAATGTCGAACTCTTGGAATTAAAAATGCCAATATTGTGGGAATAATTCCAAGGTAGACATAGGAATTATTCTTATAATATTACGGGCAGCATTCCAAAAATTATTGGAACTGATTGCATAATTTATGAGAAAATCTCCTATGATTATGGGCTTTAATGCTCTAATCTATAATAATTGTTACGACAATGGTATAGAAAAAAATATCGTGGAATTATGGGAGCCGTTTCCATATTTTTTCTTCCGTGTATACTGTTGAGTATCGATATGCGCAAGGGTTGCAGAAGATGACGGAATTAAAGTACTATTCTGTAGAATCTGTGAGAAAAGTATGAATTAATAGTTATAAAATAAATAAATGAAATTGGTTCTTAAAAAAGAATCTGTTTCGATCAGGAAAGAAGTCGTTTTTAGACCTCAAAAAGCAAAAATTATAAGGCTTGTCTCAGTGGGACCCGATATATTCCCGATTTAGGCTTGATTAAAGTCTGTTCAAAGTAGATGAAGTATAAAAGTGTGACGTCAATTAAGTCGGATTTATATCCAATTTGTGTGTATTAAAGTATATTTAGTAGAAAATTGAGAAATAAAATCTGAAAAACTGCCCGGAAGCTATTCCTGGAACTTCCCGCTATCACTAGAGTATCGATCGATTTCAAAATCTAATCAGCTTTTTACCTCGAAAAACAACTTTAATTTTCGCTAACGATCAAAATCGATTAAGTCGTTGAAGAAATATTATTGAATGTGGTTGTTCATGCCATTTTGGTCAAATTGACTAGTAGATATGATTCAAGCCCATAGATGGACGCTTTCATCTTCCCTTATTTTCGAGAGATATTCTCTCTTCCAATAAGTTCGATGGATATCCATCGAACTTGAATACTAGTAAAGCTGGAAGCTTGTGGTATCTGTTCTGATTGTAAAGATGTTGACTTTCTAAATTGGTCAATATTTGATTATTTATCGGTTAAACAATCAGCGTATAACCTTTACTTTTGTAACAAACAATTAAAAATAAAAGTGAAGATTGCGATGTGATTTTTAATTCTGAAATAAAAATTCAAGTAAAAAATTAGATAGCTTGGCTAACCAACCCCATTTATTTTTTCAAAGTCTGTCTTTGCTCTCATTCAAATTTTCTTTCACTATCTTTCACTTAATCAACATCTTTACAATCAGAACAGATACCACAAGCTTCCAGCTTTACTAGTATTCAAGTTCGATGGATATCCATCGAACTTATTGGAAGAGAGAATATCTCTCGAAAATAAGGGAAGATGAAAGCGTCCATCTATGGGCTTGAATCATATCTACTAGTCAATTTGACCAAAATGGCATGAACAACCACATTCTATATATACAACAGGTCATGAAAATATCTTTACAATTACCAAAGAAATATTATTATTAAAATTTCTAAAAAGGTGTTTTTTTAACATAACTCGTAGATTTCCATACTCGAAATGTATAAAAGTTGTATTGTTGAGCTCGAAAAGCTTTGTAATATGAAATTTTCCGAGTCTTTTGAGTTCAAATATAGTAATAAGTTCCAGAGATGCCCTGCAGGGTCAACTGTTTGTCAAATTTTTTTTAACGGATTAATGATTCTAAAAACTGTTAGAAAATATATATTAAACCAATTTTTAAATGTATGGTTCAAATTTTTTTTAAATGTTTTCTTAACACAAATTCAAATTTTGAATAAAATCATAAAAATTTCTCGGTGTCTACTGATTTCAGTATTATTTTTTTAAGCTTATTCAATTCAAAACTGGTGATATTTTACCGTACTGGAGCGCTAGTTGTTTTTATATTCAAAGTTCAGCATAAATGATGACAAAGGAGGTACATACATAATATAATCAGCGCCAAAATAACCTGATTTACAAGAAACTTTCCAACAAAAAATATTTTTATATAAAAATATTAATTACAGTAGGTTATTACCTTGATTGATTTTATTGATATAAATATTTTATTGTTCATAACAAAACTTCTAAATAAACGGATATTTTTGTTGCATCAACCAATCGTCATTTTCACATACACCAGTTATACTTATCAACCTATTTATCAATATTGCTATTGCGTGAATAACTTGACAGATTCAAGTATAGTAATAGATATTTATGTCATGCGGCTGCAAAGTGGCGATTTACCGACAAACTAAGATGTTGCGACATGAGCTTAAGGTTTGTGGCGCGAATTTACAAAAGAGGGTGTAAATTTGACTCAGGTAAATTTGATTTGAATGAATTAATTCATTTTTTTTTTTTTTTAAGAATCGTCACAAGCTTTAAGGAAAATACCATAAAATCGAGATTGTCCGAATTGCCACTGAGTAAAATACATTATTTTTGGTCAATATTGCTAAGAAAATTCAATTTGCGAGGAACAGAAACTTGGTAGCTTTCGAGTACAAAAAAGTGTCTCCGATGTCTGGAGTTGATTAATCGAATATTTTGAAAGTTATTTAGAAAAAATTAAAAAGAAAAAAAATTTTTTTGGTTTTTATTGTTTGAATATCTTTGAAACAACTCGTCCGATTGACTTAAAAATCTAATTAGATCGAAATCCTAATGAACACTTTCGAACGCCGTGTCGCTGATCTTGATCGGTTGATTCGTCCTCAATACACACACACACACACACACACAACGCACGTGCGCGGCCGGACATCCAGCAGAGAATAGTCGAAACGGCTTTCTAGGTCCTTAAAAAATGGAGATCTGATGAAAACTCGCATTCTCAAAATTGGACCGAAATCAAAGACTTTTTATTCTTGCTAATTAATGATTTAATGATTAATTAAGCTAATAATCGAAGCTCTGACTGAATTATTTATTAAAATTTTTTAAATTATTCATAATTAAAAAATCGATGATTTTCTGAACCTTTCAAAGAATATAAAACGTCCTTGATAAACCATTCAATTATCCATTATTGTATATTATTAAGTTGTTTACGGAAGAAATAAACTCAGGTACTAGCCAAATTTTATAACTGTCAAATAATCCGTACATTCAAGTTATACAAAAAATGTAACTACAATGAGAATTTTTTTTATTTTAGATTTAAATAGTGAGTTATAGAGAGTTCCTCTAATTTATACTAAATATAAGTAAAGTAAAATATAAGTAATTTTAGTTTTCATTGTAAAAATCGAAAAAAATAATTTTGTTTGTTTTAACTCTCGAGTTTAAAAGAAATAACAGAAAATTTTTTTTAATTTTTACAGATGGTAGTGAAATAACCTGAACACATTCTAACCCATCGTATGATGGCAAAAAAATTTTAACTACGTGCTGAGCTATCATAAAAAATATAGTTAGAATATCAAATTTGAAAATTAAAAATTTTTTCGAAATATTTGCAATGTGAATTATCAGGTCAGATAAAACATTTTTTTCATATGGAATATATAACGATAGATCAATATTCATTGAAACAATATGCTGGATTAGTTAAAAACAAATTTATTTCTATTTTTAATAATTGTTTTCACTATGCATTATTACAAAACTTCAAATCACATTATTCATTACTGTACTTAATAAAAAAAAAAATTAGTATTAAACGACTAATTTTTTAATGTTTCGTAATAGTTATAGCATTGTTAAAAATTTATCAATAGATTTATGCATTGAAAAACTATTATCATAAATTAGTTTTTTTTTTTTAAGATCTTTCAATAGCTTACAATAATCTTTTCAAGATATAAAAAAATTTAACACAAAATGTTATAACTCAAGAAACCCAAGTAAAATTATTATATAATATATCTTATTTAAGTAAGCGCTAATCCGTATTTTTTGTAGTGATTTGTACTTTTCAGAATTATTATTACTATACAGTTATTATTATTCTTATTATAACATTTCAACTGACTTTGGATTACTAAGCTTTCATTATACTTTATAGTGATGTTTTCATATTATCTTAATAATAATATTTTACTCATAGTTATGACACTATTTCTTATAATGTCTTAAAGGCACAAACACTTGATTCTATTTATATTGATGAAGCAGCACTTGAAATTAATCAATGTGTTTTTAAATTAATGTTCCATGAACTCTAAATCGGTAAAGACAAGTATAATCAAGTTGCCCATGATTACTATGTATTTTTAATTCGATGAACTCATACGGTTCTACAACATTAAGATTCTGCACCGGAAAATATTGAAGACTTTCATCATTATCTAAAAATTCATATTCACCGAAAAGTACAGGATCAGAATCATTTTCTTCCTTCAAACCCCAAATATTAAATTTCTTTGGTGCACTTTTTATTTCATTGTTAGGCAAAATAGATTTTGGTGCATGCTCAACAGTAAACCCAGTTACTTGGATTGGGCTACGTAGTTTAATCACAAGATATCCAGGAAAATCTTGAAACGCCCAACAAACTCCTGGCTGTAATGAATGTCCTTGAATTACAGTTCGAGGATCACTACTCTCATAATATAATGTAAAGCCAAGAACTTTGAATGCCCGAGTATTGACACTGTAACTTTGGGTACAACGAATACTAATAATTTGACCGCCAGCGGATTCTAACGCATAATCAACTTTTCCTGTTTTATCCGCGTTATAAGTCTTCAAAATTTCTTTAACTATGTTTTTTATATGCTCTTCGGATAATGACGAAGTGTTAGGTAAATGTTCACATTTAAGCGTCTTTAAATCTTCGCCATCCGATTTCTTATTATAATTATCGCTTGAAATTAATAAATTTGTGAAAATTTCGTTTATTTCTTTTGGTGATATACTTTTATCACAGCAAGTCTTTAAATTTGCGTAAAGGCTTTGTATATTATTCAACTCGGTTTTAATATTTTGTATTTCATCAAAAGTGTTTCTCTTCTCATTATTTTGATACTCTAAAATATGTTGTGCGTTTATTACTCTGTCCTCTAAAACAGATATTTTTTTCTGAAATAGAAAGAAATAATATTATTTACATTAATGATAAAAGAAATTAATAAAAATTTAAATATTAATAATAAAGAATTGTGATTTACTTCATAAAGCTTCCAAACTTTTGCTTCATCGACTTTCAGCTTTGCATGAGATTGATTGAGACTTAAAATATTTTTCTATAAAAAAAAAATAATACTATAAAATTTTTTTGTCATTGATGATGTAATAAATCAAATATTAAAACTTACTTCCGAATTCTGTTCGATAGCTTCCAATTTCTCTACTCGATCGATCAAACTTATTATTTGTTGACTTATTTTCTCTTGAATAGCATCATTTATGATAAAGGAATTTTTTTCTAATGGTTCTATTGGATTTATAGGTGTAAGACTTTTTTTTGTAGTAGAAAATTGTGAAAAATCAGTTCTAGAAAACGAAGGAAAGCCTAAATTTTCTCCATAGGGATAAAACCAATAACCTGAAATGAATTAATTTTAGAGCCAAATGAATTATTCATTAAATTGAGACAAGAAATATAATTATGATTAAAAAAAAATTTTAACATCGTATAAAATTTTATTGTCAAATCGATTCAACAATAAATTTTTCGACGGATAATCTGTAAGTAATTATTACCACAGTTGCAAGTAATGTAAAGAAAAAAATTTCTTTGGAATTTAAAATATTTATATCTTGTAAAAAATTATATTTATACGTGTCGGAATTAAAGATAACAGGCTTTTATAACGTCGATAACATTCAGTCTAGAAATAATAACTGAAAAGAAAAAAGTTCCAATGGAATAAAATTATTCCGTTTCTCTAAAAATATAATCATTATTTTAAATGATTTATAGAGAAGAAAATCAAATTTTGAATAAATTAATACATTAAGTACGCATTCATTACATATGTTTTTTATGTAAACATAAATATGCAAGACGCACCATGTCTGTTTTTCATAGTTTTCTTTTTAGTTTATCTTTTATATATTTTTAATTATCAGTTCGAGTACTTAATTTGATATTCAACAATTATTTAATTCAATCTAAACTATTAACTAAAATAATTCATTAGCTAAACAATATATATCCTTTATCTTATTGAACGTTTTTTTTTTTCATCAAACATTTCGTGGTAGTTTGCTACTTCATGTTCTCAAAAAATCAAAAACATATTATTCAACATTTTAATCACCTTGCTTTTTAATTAACACGCTTACATATCACTATAGTCACTTATTTTTTTTAACAAATTATAATAATTTATGCTATAAAAATAAAATTTGACTTTTTTTTTTAAGCACAAATATATTAATATCACAACTTTCACTTTTACATTCTACTGTATATGTATATCAATACTGTTTTATGAGAACCAGAAGTGACAAATTGTCATGAAACGTCATTCAACAAAAAAATGTGTGACTTAAAACTTATTCGATAAATCGTTATATCTCTGAGAATTCCACGAAAATGTCTGTGTGCAAAATTTATGATAAAAATTAAACATTCATGATTACCCACCAAGTAAAAAAAGTAACAATGGAAGAAAGAATATGATCCATTTGGAAGAGTGCCTGCGGAGACTCTTTGAAAAAGTTGAAACACATCTTAATATCCAAGAATCAAAAAAGAGTGCTCTCATCAACAACAAATATGAATACTGAATAACTCGAAACATTTTTTTCCATATTTTAGTCAATGTAGATTCTGTAAATGATAGATTAAGGATTGGTAATATAATATTCATTTTTATTAATTATATTATTTTCAAACTCACCTTGATACTGCCAATAATTATGACTAGTTGTAGAATTTTTTTTCAACATCTTAATACCTACGAACTGAAATAAATTGATAAACAGTAACGTTAAGACATTCTTAATCTTTTCAAACCACGATATGGTCCACTTTTTATTATTGTTGGTATTCAACTGAAGAGCTTCACTTAATTCCGTGTTGGAATTAATGTGTGAAGAACTATTAAATCTGTAGAAAGAAATTCAATACTTGTAAAATTTCATTAAGAAAGACAAAAAAAGTTGTAAATAACTTCATAAATGATAAAGTTTTACCTATTTTCAAACTCTGCATAAGAACTTGTGTCAAGATTTCTCGATTTATCTATTTGTGTTTGATTGTATATATGTAAATCCGATTGTCTTGCTGTATCATATGAAAACGAATAAAAATGTTGTTCTTCATTCTAGTTTAGCAAAAAGTTTATAAATTAATAATATATAAATTTTTAAAATAAAATATAATTACAGACAAATGTGTAAAAATATATTACCAAACGATTTTGATTGACAGCATCAGTGATATCTTTTTCTAGGTAATTGAAGGAACGTGTTCTATTTCTTTGAGACAAAGTTGAATCCTGTTGACTGTAAATCAGACTACTGCAGTTACTACCACACGCTAAATGGATAGACGTCCGAGACATGTTAGGCATGGCCAAGATTCCAGGCGCGATTTCATATCGACATCGTGATGTCGGAGAGTATGTATAATCTGTCTTTGGAAAAACACTTGAAGAAAAAAAATGAAACGAAAAAAATTTAATTCAGTCAAATTTTAGCCTTGTCATTTTGTAAACATGGCATAATGAAAAATAGAGCTTAATGAAAGTAATTATGGCTTTGTTTACAAATACAATACATAAATTGAGTATTTATGATATGCAATAATATAAGTGTTAAAGTAACTTACTCCCACCAATCACCAGCTTGTTTGTATATTTCGTATGCTGATCTAGGACTTCTAGATGAATCATGGAATTTTCCTTCATCGGAAGAATAGTCACTGGTAATTATTTTATTTGGAGATAAACTTTTACTTGATATTTTTATAGATTTACTCTCCTTTAACTCTCCTTGTCCATTAACATTGTCTTGTCTTCTTACGCGTCGTCGTTCTGACCGCTTATCAACTTTTTTAACTGTTGAAAGTGCAGATTTTTCATTTTGACGTTCATATTCAACAGTTATTTGTGCTTTTTGAATATCTTCAATGTTCTGTTGTAGTTCTTCTTTTATTGTATCGTTTTTTAAAGTACTTCTGGGTCTATATATTAACGTCAAAATGAGAATAATTTAATCATGATAACAATAATGATTTTTACTACTGTAATGTATATTGTAGAATACACAAGTAAGTATGAAAAAATTTAACTTACAAGGATCTCGACTCTGAACGTCTGGAACTTGATACTTCCACAGGGGTCTGGGATCTTTCTTTACTTCCTCTATCTCTTAAGTATCTGTGATCATAGGTATTAAAATCTATCAAATTTTGATTGAAAACCATTGGAGTATGAGACCTAGATCTACTTCTACTTCTCAAATCATAGTGATGTGTTTCTTCATCCATTGTCTTAGCTGGAAATAAACAATATTTAACATTAATGAAATATTTAACTCACATGTAATAAATAATATAAGCTAGAAAAATGTATTTTCATTAAATAAATCATGAAAACTCAATTATTTGAAATTTTCAAGCTACTTTATTGATCTCAGAATACTTCGAAATAATGCAAAATTTTAGTTGTAGTAAATATTTGGCACAGCACAGGTTGTTTTTTTTTTCCTATAGTAATTTATAAATTATAAATATACCACATGCTAAGAATATATTGTATTTATAAAGTAGACTTCTACGCTATTTTGCGATTGTACGTACAGAGTTTCTATGAATTTTACAGTTACCTAAATAATATATGTATGTAAATTCATACAATTACAACCAAGAATTTAAAATTTCATAGTATCAGACAAAAAAATGTTTCAACTGTAAAACTTTTTCCTAAATATAACCAAAGCATAAATATTTGATGATCAAACTTGTAAAATAATAAAAATAATAATAATGTTAAATATTCAAGCGTACTAATACAAAATGCAAGTATTACAAAACTATTTAAAAATAGAAAGTTTTTACCTAAAATATGTAAATACAGATACATAAACAGTACATCACCTTGACTACCGATCCTTCACTTTTTGTTTTTTTTTTTCATATATCACGTGTTGAAATTAAAAAATATTTATCTATATGTTGATATATCAATTATTAGATATTTTAGTTGACTTTCAACATTGTAGCTATAATTTTAGCTAAATAATTGATGCGAATAAAATCATTCTATTTATGTCAGCATAGTCACAATATGCGTGGTTATAATTAACATGTCATTATATTTACCAGCATGTTGAGGTCAATAAAAACAAGAGTTGATACTACGAAATTTTTGTTTTTACCGATGTTGCGTATTTAATTGCAAATAGATCAATCTAAACAGTTGTAAAGATAGAGTTGTTTATCTAGAAACGCACTTATCCTCTGGTTATTTTCAGATGTCACCACTTTGAATTGAGATTGAGCGGTAGTTTTCAAAAACAGTGAGACAACTGTAAAGACTAATAAATCTGATATTTTAATCTGAATATACTTATGTACTTATAAAAGTATACTGGTATACTTGATAAAGAAATTGCTAATTCTAATTTATGCATATGTAAATATATATATATACACAAAAATTGCCAACATTAATCTTTTACTGTGAAATTATTGATATATATCGAAAAAAATTCTTGTAAAATAAACATTAGTAGGATAAAGAGTTGAAAAAAGTTGTGGCATTAGAAATTAATAATTAATGTGACAATGAATAAATTATATAGTTATTAATTTACAATAGAATTAAATGACCCTGAAGTTAGCGGATAGCAGACAAAATAAAATTTCAGATAGGGATATCTACAAGCGAAATTAAGTTTTTCGAGTTTACCAAATTATAAATGGTTTGTCGTTGACTTACCTACAGATGATAATAAACAAATTTTTTTTTTTTGCTAATAAAAAATTTTTTACATTAAAAATTAAATTTTGGGAAACTCTCACCGTGTTTCCTATCGTTTCATACATATGAAATTTTCAAATTTAGTTTATTTTTAAATCCAAAAAAGATGATTTCAGTTAGTTTTTTTAATTTTGGCTTAGGGCATTCTGGGACGTATATCTGCGAGTAAAATGATTATTATTAAAAAAAAAAAAAAAGTCACCTTTTCGTCTTTGAAAAATCTAAAGATGATATTTTTTTTATTTTAAATTTGTTAGTCGGATCGTTAGATATCCTCAATTTTTTATTTTTTTGAAAATTTTAGTGCCGGATATCAAAGTAAAAAATAATCAAAATCAAAATCAAAAAAATGTCATGTTTTCATTTTTCACGAATCTAAAGATGATTTATCTCGGATTTTTTATTTTCTTATTTATTTCTTGAATAATCTTATTTTTTAATTTTTTTGAAAATTTTGGTCCGGAATATTAAAATCAAAAATGATAAAAATGACAAAAAAAAAAAGTTCGTCATTTTCATTTTTAAAAAATCTGAAGATGATTCTTTTCATATCTTTATTTTTTCATTTGTTCATTAAATATTTATATTTTTCAATTTTTTACAATTATTTTGACGGAGAATATCAGGTAAAGCATGAATTAAAATTTTTTTTTTTGCTCAAGTCAATAAATTTGCAATCTAGATTTAAGAAATTTGAGAAAAATGATTAAA